CGCCTTGCCTACCCTACAAGGTTCCATCCAAAAAAGGTGCCGGAACTCCGTTCTGGGCGTTCTAGGACAAAAAAAGCCCTGGTTGCAAGATGGAAAAGTTGGTTACAAAGAAAAAAAATAGCTACATCAAATATGACAAAAGCATGTGTGAGAAAATGTATTCTATAGTCTCATGACAGCAAGGTTGAACTTTCTGGCCATCATTCCAAAAAAGTATGCTTGGTACAAAAACACAGCACATCACCAAAATTATACCATCCCCACAGTGAAGCATAGTGGTGGCAGTATTGTGCCTTGAGGCTGCTTTTCTTCAGTTGGAAATGGGGCTTTAGTCAAGGAAGAGGGAATTGCAAACAGTTCCAAATATCAGTCAATTTGGGGCCAAAACCTTCAGGCCTCTGCCGAAATGCTAAAGATGAATTTCACCCTTCAAAACAACAAATGACCCAAAGTATGCCTCCAAATCAAAAGCATGGCTTCACCAGAATTGCTCAGTCAAAGCCTGGACCTGAATCTGATAGATTTGGAGCGCTTTTGCAAGGAAGAATGGGCAAAGATTCCCAAGGCAAGATGTGCCAGGCTGATAGGCTCTTACACCAAAAGACTTCTGAATGCTGTTAATAAGATCGAAAGGTGCTTCAACGAAGTTATTAGTTTAAGGCTGTGCATCCTTATGCAACCAAATTATTTTTTTAAATTATTTTTCCCTTTAAAATTTCAATTTTTTCAATTGAATTGTACATTATGTTATATTAAAAGAGGGGGGGAATCTGGAGTGATTTATCTTGGTCTGATTTTTATTTTTATATCTCAAAACATGGCATTTTAATAAGTGTAGACTATATCCACTATATTATGCAAATCTACTGTGATTTGCTGTGTAAAATCACAGCTATATTGGTACAATTAATTTACAGAAGATAAAAAATAAGGGCACGTTTAGCAAAACATATTTAAAAAGAACAAGCTACCGGTTCCTGAAACTACAGAGAACAGAAGTTAAAATGTGTAAATAGGAAAGTACTGTGAGCCTACGTAGGGGAGAAAAACCTTGATAAAGCCAATTCCCAGTTAAGTATTTGCTGCTTCACTCACCTGTAAATATAATTTCAAATTTCATATACTTTTGAAAGATAGATTCATGATTTTTTTCTTTTGAGTCATTTTATATATTTTCTGCATTTATTTGCCAAACTTTGGTAGCCAAAATGTGGCATCCCTATTTTTTAACATCAATCCTCTCCTTCAGTTTTTGTAAGTTAAAATATTGCAAATAAGCCTGGATAGTGTATAATACAGGTAAATGTTTTTAACTCCAGGTGTGCTTTTACAATACCCACATGTGCTTTTCCCCTCAAAAATGTTTTTTTGGTTTGTGTGCAAATGTTCTATGCTGGTGATAGACTTAGGTTTTAGAGACTGCAATCCTATGTACAATACAATTGATTTACCTTTACAGAAACATAGGGAAACAGAGATTCCCAAATTTGGACGGTTGTTATGTAACAATGCAATTTGTTTACAAAAGCTATCATTGTGAGGTTGTTTTTTTAAATGTCCAGCTCCAGTGTTTTCATAAACTAACTAGAGATTGAAAAATGAGGTGGGTAGTGTTGGTGCAGATTGCCAGGTGAGCGGCCAGAGGTAGGAGGGGCAGATTGCTTGGAAAAACAGAGAGGGAGGAGGGAAGCCTGATGTATCCTTTTATGCAGTGGAAAAGTGGTGGACAGATTTAATGGACATTCTGGTGAGAAAGCATTGGATTTTCTAAAACATTAAAAAAAGGACATAAAATCTGAAGTTTGGTTATCCTAGACACAAAGAATTGTAGTATAAAACATTCATACCATAGTAGCCTATTAGAACTATCTTGTGTCCCAAGGAATAGATACCCAGGCCCTCCAGGTGCTGCAGTGTAAAATCGGCTATATTAGTTAATGAGAACTCAGTAATGGTTTTAACTGCTTTGCCCTTTGTACCATTTAAAAAAATATTTGATAGTATTAAAAAATAACCAAAGTTCTTCAATTACATGGGCATAGCAGTGGCAGAAATAAATGAACTAACAGCATTCCAATATCTCAAGACAGAATTTCCCTGCCTGCTGAAATTTAATAGCATAGACCTTTGAGGCTGTTAAATCTATGCTAAATTACTATGCCTTAATTAAACATTAAAAAATACTGTGGTCTTAAAATACACAGGGGAAGCTCCAAAGCCTACTTTAGTTTTGAACTAAGCTTGTTTTTTCATGTTACTTACTATCTGCCCAAATGTACAGTCAATAAACCAGGAATGAGCAATAGTGGAGGCACCAATAATGATAGTTCTGAGAAAAGAGATGTGCTGAAAAATCCCTTTTGAGGTTGCATTGTAGCAGATAATTAGGCATTGTTAACAGGCAATTATTTAACAGCCACAACATACTGGACTTAATAAACCTAATAATCTGGTTTATTAATTAGATTTCAATGCCTTAATTTGGGCACATTCATTTTTTCATGTAAACAGATGCTTAAAGTTTGTTAGCCATTACAAGCAACGATGGAACCCAAGCCAAGAGTAGAATTTGTGAAGTGGCTGCCTTTCTGCTTTGGCCAAATTCTCTGGCTAGCTCATAACCCATGAAAAGATGGGCTATTTTAACAAGAGGGGAACAGCAAAGGAAAAAATCCTGCTGCTTTATAGTTTCTCCTTAGGACATTCCTGGGCATCTACCTTAGGATAGAAGTGCAGTTATCATCCATTTGTTTAAATTCACCTTGCCCTGCTAAGGTTCTATAACAAATGAGAAAGCATCTCAGATCTACGCTTAGTTAAATTGTACTTTGAACTATATGGGTAGAAATCAATGGATCAAGCTCCGATCTCAACTTGCAAACCCTTTGTGGGAACTTAGTTTTTGGAGCAGTGGAAAAAAAAAACCTCTTGAGATAAGTTTTTTGAATAAGCTGCCTATAGAGCTGACGCTGATACTATGGTACCATTTTCAGTGTTTCATCTTGATAGCACCATTATAATAAACACAGAGGCCTCTCCCAATATCTGGTCAACAATGACAATAAGCCATCCTGCTATTAAGAAGGCCTGGATCCAGGGTGTTGAGAAAAACCTGATCAAATAGTAAATTCATCCAGAAATGAAATGGGTATTTTAAACAATTAACAAAAATGAACCAATGTTTACTTTTTAAGATACATATTTCAGTGGCAAAAATGTGTGGACAATGAAGCTGTTTCTTGGGGTTTAAATATCGATAACTATTTTCATCCTGAGATATAATGCAGGGATGACAAATAGTACAGGGATTTTGAATAAAAGGAACATAAACCCAAAAAGGTACAGTATGCACACCAACGCTTTTGAGAACAAAATCGCTTTTAATGACATTTAAGGCTAGGTTTGGGTTCTCTTTAATACTCCCAACAGTTTTTTTAAAAAAATCATGCTTGTTATCTAATTATTAGGCTGGTTTTCTTTAATTCAGCCAGTGGTGAGGATCTGGTTGTGGTATTTTACCAGAAGAGCTTTGAATTACAGCAAGTAGTCACAGAAATACAGAGGAACTGTTCCCTGACAGCAGGATTTGGAGCTGTGCATGCAATTACGTAGGCACAGCGGCTACGAGGGAGAACGGAGAATGGAGCAGGAACACGGAAACAGGCTCCCATGTCTCCAAAGACCAGCTCCACCTCCAGGTTAGTACACAAATGTTGCAAGAAGCACACTAGGGAAGACAGCCTTGACACAGGCAACAAGCATAGAAATCTTGGGGAGGCTGTGGGGGGGAGGGAGGGGGAAGACCATGCCAACAACAAACAGGAAAGCCTACATACAAGTCACCCTTTCTTGCCCACTGGATAATTCCTTCCAGTCAGCCTGTAAGACACAAAGGTTGTGGAAAATAAAATACAAAAAGCTTCCCGTGCCCCCTAAAGATATATGGAGGAGGGACTGTTTCCCTTTGATGCAGCACGGAATGAGCAAAGGTTGGGCTCAATTCAGAGTTGGAAAATCCAAGATCCTTCAATCTCCATCAACAGGTTCAGGTAAAGACAATTTATATGTTTACACATTCTCCCAGCACCATAAAAAGGAAGGAGAAAAAAAGGCAAATCTAAAAACTGGCACCCCTCTTTCCCTCCATCCCTTCTCAAGGACTCTTGAAGATAATGTCCGGGCCCGAAGAGAATGTCCACCAGACTGAACATCATCTCTCTGCAAGGGAACAACGACTGGGTTGTTCTAGCACAGGGGAGACAATTATTAGCCAAAAGTAAGAGACGTAATTACCTTCCCCGTTTACACAGAGATAAATCAATGGGTGGAGACACGTGGAACTATGTTCCACAAACAGCTACAGGTATAATTTTTTTTATGCCTTTTCCTACCCACTTCCTAAAACTCAGAGCATTTTCTCTCTCCCCCTCCAATGGAATGACAGACAAGTGAATTTTCTTGGCTGTGCCTTCCAAAGAGACTTGGGTCTTCTGCCGACAACAGCTAGCCTTCTTTCAGATGGAGCCCTCCAAGCTGGGAATTACAGAGTTTGCTCCCTGTCTTACATGCCTTGTAGCACCAAAGTGGGAAACCAGTCTGCCTGCAGATGCGCCCAGGCTTTGCTCTTGGTGAGCTGAATTCAAGCTGATTGAAGAAACAAAAGATGGGTCTTTCCCTGCATGAGCCTCCTTTCAGACACTCAATCCCTTGGAACAATGATAGAGATGGCAAAACCAGTGTCAAGACCACCAAATAATAACTTACTGCAATTCCTTATGTGGCTTTGTACACACTGCCAGGAAGGGGGGAAAAGGCAAAAAAGGGGGAGATTTAAACAATAAAACAGTTCCTTGCAGGCCTTGGTGAATTTTTAAAACTGTCCATGTGGAGCCCTTGGGGGGGGGGCTGCAGACATCACCCCATCTCTCCTTTCCCCGAATCCATTTGATTCTATTTTCACATCACCTCCATCTCCATGCTACACACAGTAGAAAGCCTTCCAAGTCACAGTCTGGTCCGCTGCAAACAGAAAAGGCGAAGAGTAAAACAAACTGAAAAGCCTTTTACAAAAAGTTGCTTATTTATGCAATTCAACAACAAAATCAAGAGTACAAAAATTACAACAGATCAATATAGTACATGAAATAATAAAACTATTAGATAGTACAGAAAAAAGTAACCGGAGGGATCAATTTAAAATGCCACACATATAGTGTGTGTTGGTGTGCTGAAATTATTTCAAGATTAATCCCAGTCACACATTCCTGAAGGGGGAAATCATGCCATGTATGTATGCATGTATGCGTGCATGTATACTGGTTATATTGATGTCAGAATTTTGTTAACCATGAGTGGGGGATAAATCTATACACCAGTGTGTGTTTGCTTCACAGGATAGCAGTTCTGAATCCGACTGCTTGCTGCTCTTGTTCAAGAACTGACCTCAATAGTTTGATTGTGAATAATAGACCCCCCCAGGCATTTTTGCACTTAACATGGTATGCAGAAACAGTAGCTCAGCAGCAAGTGGTTAATGCTTAGAATAGAAGCATTTTGCTCTCCTAGAGTAGCATTTCACAGAGCAATACATTTATGGTGTTGTAAAAGGGCCAGTGGCAACTTACAGTGCCAAGTATATTTTGCATCTGCTGAACTTACATAGTAACTACTGAAAATCCTACATTTGGTTTTCTACATAAACCAAATTTAGACTTCGTTCAAGCTTTCTTCAGGCCCTCAGTCTACCTCTCCACTCACATACTGGTGAATGGGTGAACTGTCTCCAATGTGAGTGGGGGGAGGACTACCACTGCCTCTGAGGGTTCCAAACTGTTACACCAATTAAGTCATTGTGATCGCTTAGCCATACGCAAACAATGGACCTCATTAAGATACTACTTCCTTGATCACTGCTGAGCCACAAAAATTGAAATTTACTTACCGATGTAGTTCATTGTACAAAGTGACTGTAGTACTATTTACTAACCTCAAGATGATGCTGTGATTACATCAGTGTTTTGATTTACAAAACATGCTGATCACAGACAGCGTGAGAATTATAATCCTTCATATTCTTGAGCTCGCCAGGAAATGAGTTCATTGGATTTGTAGGATGTGCTCATTTGCTTATAGTACACAATATAGTAAATCTATATTATCTTCGTCTGTTTTAGATATAACAGTGTTTCTCAACCTTGATAATTTTAAGGCATGTGGACTTCAACTCCCAGAATTCCACAGCCAGCAATGCTGGCTGTGGAATTCTGGGAGTTGAAGTCCACATGCCTTAAAATTGTCAAGGTTGAGAAACACTGAGATATAAGAACCCTTTCAGGTGGGCAAACCTCCTGGTATCACTGTTTATTTATAATGCAGAGCACAAGGCCCTCAAACTTCTATTTACATGCTAGCCCTGCTCTGTGAAATGTCATAGATACACATTTACTTTCGTCCACCATAAATTTGAAAGTAAGAATGGCTGGTGATTTGATACAATAAGACAGAAGAGGATCATCCACCAAATTGGTTCAGTGGTTAAGACACCAGGCTAGAAACCAGGAAACCCTGAGTTCTAGGCCCTATCCTAGGCAGGAAAGCTGGCTGGGTGTCTTTGAGTCACTCACCCATCTCAGCCCAATCTACCTCACAGGGTTGTTGTTGTGGGGAAAGCAGGAAGAAGGAGCATTGCATATGCCACTTTGAGTTGTTTATAAAAATAACAAAGGCAGGATATAAATAAAATAAATATAATTGAATTCTGATTTGGGCTCAGTAGTGCAGAGACTAGTATGTACAAGCCTAGCTTATCTTTTATATTAATTATTATTATTTTGTGTAAGATCAGATTCCCGTGACTGAAGTAAACACAATATAACCCTTTATATTGTTGCAATGGCATACTTTGGGGAGCTATGAAATGGGAGAAGAGCTCAAGCACAGCATACAGTTGAGTCAGTCCGAAAGAAATGTAAAATATGCATACCTATAGCTGAGTACTTCCTCATAACATAATAAGGCAGTCCCCCTAGGCCTGAGCTACATGTGCTGCTGGGCTAAGCTCAAAGCATACTCTTCTCAAACCACATGTGGGCACAGGGCACTCAAACGTGCCCTGTGCCCAACTCTTCAGAAGCTGATGTGAACAGAAATGGCTCAAACACTAATGCAAAGACCATTGCAATGATAATGTCTCCTTCAAGTGGTTTCACCATGAAGAACATGACAGCCGGTTTGGTATAGAGCAGGGGTGTCAAACTGCCGTTCCACGAGCTGGATGCGTCATGCCGAAACCGTGCCCACCCCAGCTCCAGCAATGGGGAAAAAGTCGCGATACGTCACGACACGTCACATGATGTTGTGAGTTTTGACACCCCTGGTATAGAGGTATAGAGGCACCAAGAGACTGTGAATTCTAGTCCCACCTTAGACATAAAAAGCCAGTTGGGTGACTTTGGGCCAGACACTGTCTCTCATCCCAACTCGCCTCACAGGGATGTAGTGGGGGAAAAAATAGAAGGAGAAAAGGGCATTAGCCTCCTTGAGTCATTTATAAAAATAATATAGGCGAGTTTGTAAGTGTGTTATATAAATAAAATAAAATACACATACAAATATAGAACAATGAGAAAATAAGAGCAGATATAAAGGCGGTGCGAACAGAGAGGAAAATGAAAAAGTCCAAAACCTCCTTCATGTTTATTATGTGCCAAACCACACCTAGATAAATATTGCCAAGTTATGTTCTCTTCGGTGAAAAGAAAAGATTTCAGGCAGGCCAGGCCTCTGCCTTAAGGACACAGTGTGGGTAGTGCAAAGGATGTAGGAATGAAGACACACTTGGCCAACACTTTTCTCCTCTCAGCCTTTGGCAGTAGCCTCTCTCTTAAGCCAAGCATTTTAAAAAGCATTTGGGATTAATCTGCAGTTTCAGCAGTGACAGCACAGGAAGTTACTCCCACCCACCCCATCTCACATCTCAGGCTACAGGAAATACTCTGAGACATCTGGATTATTTGCACATCTGGACACACTGACACACACACACACGTTAACAATAGCAGCTGTGCTAGGTAACAGTTAAAAACTAGACCCGCTGGGAGATCCCAACTGATGAAACTTTACATCCCTTCACTTCTCAAATGTAATTTTTTTGGAAGGAAGTGTTCTTTTTAATAATACATAAAATGGTGTAACCATAGAAGGAGGAAACTGCTCTGATTCCTGCTCATCTGCTATCCTCTCTCCATTGAGGTTCTAGGCTACACAGAATAATCTGCATTTACAAACTCCTTTAAAAACTATGAGTCTTAACAGTCATGTCTAGAAATTTAGGAGAGTGTATCTATGGCTCTATATATGCCAGTGTTGTCCGAAGACATTTCCCTGGTCATGTGGCCAGCATGGTTATACGCCAAAGTCATACGGAATGCTGCTACCTTGCCTTCAAAGTGGTACCTATTAATCTACTTATTGTTGCATGTTTTCGAACAGCTAGGTGGGCAGGAGCTGGGGCAAGTAACAGGAGCTCACCCCGTTGAATGGCGCTTGAGTCTTGAACCTGGACTGCCAGATGACAGTCTTTAACTGCTGAGCCATCACAATTAAATATTTATGTGTGTGTGTGTGCGTTGTGTGTGTATTGACACCTGACTCCTGAATAATGGCAATGAAGAGCTTTTCTTAAAACTCTAATTTTATAAACTATGTACAATGTATTTCCAAATGCATTTTCTTCTCTTAGTGTTCTACTAAATACCAAATACACTGGGGGGGGGGAATCATTCCAATATGTTTTCTATTTGTATTTCTACCACAGGATTCAGTACAGTACAGGTCTCAGAGCATGAATTTTAAATATCTGAATTATAAATGCTGTCAGGCATTAATTCCTCCCTATAAAATCTCTCAAAATAGATGCTGACCACCAACATATTATTATTATTAAATCCAGGACAAACTTTGGCTCTTCAAAGGGGTAGATGTCTTTCATGCAGCATCCAAACAGAAACAAACACATTGTATTATCTAAGGTCGCCATTCCAAACTTGGAACTACAACAACCATCATTCCCTTTCAGAATCATCAATGATAGATAGAATGATGGGAACTGTAGCCTGAGACCTAGCTATAGAAGGTATATATATATATATATGACACCTGTCCACAGAGGAAGACAGGACTAAGGCATGGGAAGACAGCAGTGCAAACCTCCCCTGAGAAAAGCAACAGATATCAGTCAGAAACTTGTAAAGCAGGAGGAGAGAAAACAAGAAAAAAAGAGTCATATAAAACGGGGTATCCAAGTTAGAAGGGAAGCAAATACAGATGCAGGCGCTTTGATTCAAATCAGTCTCGTGGATGAAGAAACAAATGGTCAATGTCTCCTCATTCTTGATAGCGTTCTAATTCAAAGCATTTTCCTTCAAGAACTGTAGTAAAAATAGACTTCCTTTTGAGGAAGTGGCAGTTTTGCAGCCAGTATATGACAAGACACATTCTGTCTTCTTGAAGGGGATCGGACTCATAACACTGAGGAAGGCAGGGATGGGGCCCATGCATGGGTTCAAAGGAAACAGTTTTTCAGTGCACAATCTGAGTGGCCTTTTTCGCTAACAAAACTGCTCTTTTTCTCCCAGTGACTTACCTTGGTCATGATATTACACATTTGCAGTTCATGCAGCCTGGACCACTTTCATCTGGAGGATTCAATTTACGTAGTTTGTGCTGCCGGATCTCTCGCACTAAAGTATAGAAGGCATCTTCAACTCCCTGCAACAAGTTAATGAAGTGTTTTGAACATCATGTATTTGCGTGTGTAAGCAAAGAGAAAGGACATTTCCAAGAGTAGTTAAGCATGTGTTTTCCACTGCTGGTTCAGTTCTGAATGCATTACTAGCTAACCTAGGGTTTGATTCAAAGAGATAAAAGCTGCTCTCCTTCTCCCCAAACTACAAACACGAAACCATGTAATGGTGAGCTGGTAGACATTGTAGAAATAACTGGCAGAATTGGTAGACATGACAATGGTGTGACTGTTTACCAAGTGCCCCTATTTTGAATCCAAGCCACAGACCCAGAGAGCTGACTGCCTAAATTGGCAGCAAATATGTGTACAGTTTGGACAAACGGCAAAGTATGGAATTCCCCCACCACTGTTGGCTGAACATTTGCCTTTGTTACTGCTAGTGACAACTGCTAAACCAGGCTAACTGCCAGTCATGTCCCAGCATCATCTTAATGGAACAAAGCCACTCTTAATCCAAACTTGCTGTAATTTTCACTTCTGTTCCCCACTGCCTAGGAGCCATTAGCAGAAACTACACAACCTGCTCAATAATTACTAGCTGGAACCCTAGTAACCCAACAGTAAATGCCTATTATTGGCTCAATGGCGCTAAGGGACAGCTCCAGCCCAGCTAAGTCAGATAACCACGACAGGATTATACAAACAAAGAAAGTAAGCTGAACAGCCATCTGTTTACACAATTCTGAAAAGTATATAATTTCCTTGGAGGGGCATGAGTTGGACATTTTTCTATCAGAAGAGAAGAGTGTAATTTAAACTAAGTTTCTTTGATATACAATTCAAATCCAGGGCCAACGATTCAACACACCAGATCTTCAGCTGATTGCAGATGCGACGCAAAGGAGCCAAAAATCTCCCTCTGACTAACAAGGGCAAAAATGAAAAGTTCAACAGACTCTCCAGAAGATAGCTTGGTTTTTTCACCACAGAAACCCTGAAGATTACATCTTGCGAGTATGGAGTGGATTCTTTCCTCAAGAGTGAAAGTGAAAAAAAAGTGAGTCTGAATTGTTTGCACTTTCCTCCCCCCACCTCAGTATACCTGTCTAGTTTTGGCTGACGTCTCTATGTATGGAATCCCATAGCTCCGAGCCAGTTCCTGGGCTTGCCGCGTTTCCACAGTCCGGGCAGGAAGGTCACATTTATTCCCCACCAACACCATGGGCACATCATCGGAGTCCTTCACTCTCTTGATCTGCTCTCTGAAACACAGAAAACAAAAATGGGACAAATTAACGAAAGCCAACATTTCTATACAAGGGCCATGATTTTTAAGAGCTTAATGACCTAAGAATATGATAAACCTCAGAGTTTGAGTTGAGGCTTTCCCTCTCACCAAAGTCCTCTTAAACTAGCATTATCATCCTTTCATTGCCCGGTGTGCAACCAGTGATGCGTTTGTCAATACCGCTTTTAGGGCAAAATACCCCACATTCCTCCTCTGGACATTGTTTGCCTCAGAACTTAAGTATATGGGATTAGTCTCAATCCCTGCTTCGTTCCTCCAGTAAAGCTAAATTCTCCAATTCAAGCAAACCAGATAGGGAATTACTGAGGTCAGAGTATTCACATTTAAGATTAGTTCACTATTAAAAGACTGATTTTCTTTGTCCTGGAAGAAGCTGGCAACCTAAAGAAAACACAGCTGATACAATTTAATCAAGCAAAGTATTCATTTATGCAGATATGGTGGTGTTGGGGCAAATCCTGTGATAGGAAGATAAATGGAAAGTGAGACCTTGAAGGCATCAAGGCCACTAGCATCCTCTTCCCAGCTCATGCACATCATGAGCATAAGCCCAAAGCAGATCATTGAGATGACACAAAAATGGAAGAGAGAAATAAACTTTCAGGACAAATAAAAACGGGAGAGAGTATCCTAAAGTTCTCATTTGCATCCCCAGGATTTTTATTTTAAATTTGCAGGGGACTTTAAATTTTTTTTGCAAATTAAAACATCTCAGGGATGTAATTTTGTTAATTTGCTGCAGAAAAATAATAGCACAGATTCCTATGGTATCTTAAGCACTGTTACATTTCACAATTACACAAGGAACAATATATTTCAGAGTATGCAAATTCATGAACAGATTAAATCTATGAAATCATATACCCTGATGTAGTTGTTACCCTACAAAAATCTATTTTCTATGAAACACTGAAAGCCACAAAGCCTTATATGGAAGCCCTCATACTAATAAATAGACTTGCCATCACACTGTATGAAGAATCATGTATATGTGCATACATGTGGCAGAGAGGGCAGAACAAAGGCACCTGCTTGACAATCTAGCAAAAAGTCCTAAACTATCACTAACCTCAGAAAGGAACAACCATGTGGGGCAAATAGGTTCTCTGGTTTCCTACTCTTTATTTTAATAATGTTGTCAAAGGTTTTAAAAAGAAAGAAAAACTAATACAAACTAACTTAAAGCAAGAAAAAGAAAGAAAAAAGTGAAAAGAAAGAAAAAAGATACAAAGTGGTTTCTGATCTTTACTGGAGTTAAGCACAATTATAAATTTATATTTTATTATTTATTATTTTATTATAACTTTCTCTAAAGTTACATGTCTCTTTTCTGTCTAATCATCAAACCCATAAATCATAAGGTCATTTTTTAATGTTTTCCACAAAACGCGCACCAGGGATTTCCAGTCAGCAATAAACAGTTATTGTCATTTCTTTAATAAAGAAATCAATTTGGCCATCTTAGCAAGTTCCATCACTTTCACCACCCATTCCTCTATTGTGGGTAATACTGAATCTTTGCTTCTTTGTGCATATAACAATCTTGCTGCAGGAATCATATACAAAAACAAAATTCCATGACTTTTTTTCCAACTGTCCCTCAGTCCCAAAAGACCGACCTCTGGTCTTAATTGTATATTAAACTTCAAAATCCCCTGAATCAGTCTATGTATTTGAATCCAAAATTTTCTGGCTTTACACCACATCCACTAAGTATGATAAAATGCCCCTTCTCATTGTTCATGTGCATTTGAAGTGCTCCAATTTTTACTCATAATTAACATCTCCCACAACAACTGATAATGACCAAACTCTATCCATCACAAGCAGCAGTGCAGATAACAAAATAGCTGAAACTGAGTTGATGTAATCAGCTAGTGGTTACTGATAATTTCCTAGTAGTAGCTAATCTCTTTGTGAAAATTGATATATTTTTAACACTGTGATTTCCCTGACACAGGAAGTTCAGCAATTCCAACTTCTGACAATGACAGTCAAGAGCTGCAGTTATCATAATTCAACCTTGACAGTTCTAGCAGAATTTGCTGGTCCGGAAGCTCTAAGTGTGGAAGATTTTTTTCCCTCTGCTTTCACATAATTCAAAAGTATTCTTAAGACGTATCCTGACACTTCTTCTGTTTTCAGTCTCCCTCCAGCAGTTTTTACATTCAGTTTCCCACTCTTCTGTCCTTCCTTTCTATTCCTCTTCTCTTACTATGATTATTAACCATTCCTAATTGGCCACTTTTGGTCATTTTGCATCATAGGAGGGAGACCCTCCATTCTTTCTCCCCTGAATCATGTTATCTTTAGTCATCTTTTTTTCAATTCTACATATATTGCTCCCAGGCTGCTTTTATTTGGGGGGAGAGGGTGTCCAGCTGTCTACCCTCATGGCACAGAAGAAGCACAGTAATGTGCATTCATTTTTAGTCATGGCCCTTTTCCTCCTGCACTATAATCTGGACAGATACTCCGTGTATCTCTATTGCTATCCGTTTTTTACTTTCTTGTCTCTTCTCTCTCATCGTACTCCCAATCATACCTTCTTTATAGATATCCCCTTCTTACAACAACATTTGAATAAAGCAGTGAGCAGGCCTCCCTGAGCAAGGAATAGAGCACAAATCCTTTGTCAGCACTCAATTACAGCTTCAGCCAGTCTGGAATCCAGATCACAAAGCAACCTGGCTGCCCTACAGGTGCAGGGGGGGGGGGGGGTTTCCTTGTTTCCCAAGGAACCAGCCCGGCCTCTTTTACTCAAACAGGCCACCACTGGGCTCCTTGCTTCACAATAAGTTGTCGACACTGAGAACACTGACCCAGGAGATGCACTCAGGTTTATCAGAGCCAATTAATTTCCATTAAGCTTGTTGATTTTCTAGGCCAATGATGGCGAACCTTTTAGAGACCGAGTGCCCCAACTTCAACCCAAAACCCACTTATGTATTGCCGGGTGCCGGGTGGTGTGGCCCACCAGGTTGGTGTGGCTACAGTGGTCATGGCAGATGGGTGGGCGTGGCCTGGGTGAGCGTGGCCTGGGTGGGCATGGCCAGCTTGATGTTGCTCCTGGGGAGGGACGCCTGTGGAGGCCGGGCAGGATTGGGGGAGATCCAGGGGTCTCTGGCGGGTGGGGCGATGGACAGGAGGCTGGTTCTGTGGGGTGAGGCGAGGCAGGGTGGGGGTGCCATGTTGCAGGGCAAGGCGAGGCAGGGGCCGGGGCGGCCGCTGCCTGACACCATCGGCCCCCGCACACAAAGGCCAGCAAGCGCATGGGTGCTGGGATGCATCCGGCCACGTGGGACCTCGGCAAGTTAGCGGGCGGCTGGTTGAAGAGGATGGTTGCCATCTCCGGGGCATGGGGCGCGTGCCCACAGAGAGGGCTCCGAGTACCGCCTCTGGCACGCATGCCATAGGTTCGCCACCACTGTTCTAGGCGATTTAAGCAGTTTTTCAAGGAAAGCTACAACTACAGGTAATTCTCCAGTTACCCACATTGATTCAGTGATTGAATCAAGTTATGGTGACTCTGAACAAAGGGTACTTAGGCCCAGTCTCTGAAGTTATGAGTGCTGTAGTGGCCCCCTGGTCACATGATCAAAATTTGGGCACTTGGCAGCCGGCCTACCATAGGGGCGCTTCAACTCCCCCATCTGCCAGTTTCCTCCCCATCTCTTCCTCTTTCGGCTGCCCTGCAGAGCAGCCATCCTCGGCGCAGGCAGCAGCACTGGGGCCGAAGTAGAGGCTCCAGGCCTTCAGCCGTCTCAGCCAGTTGCCGCCACCCCAAGGGCGCTACTTCAGCCCCGGTGCTGTCACAGCACCAAGCCCCAGCCACCCCCACCAGCCTGTGCTCCACTGGCCCTGCCGCCATGCACTCACTGGCCCTACACTCACGAAAACGGACTGCACAATTTGGATAATGGCACAAGGAGCCTCAGGAAGGAGGTCTGGCACAGCCCCGTACCGTACGTCATGTAAGTCCAGGTCAGGTGCATTTCAACAGCAGCAGAAGGATGGCAGCAAAAGTCAGCTGGGGCCAGCAGAGTGCAGGGTGGGAAGGTCAGCAGAGGTGGTGGAGAAGAGGGCAGTCAAAAGAGCAGAGATGGGAGGGGAGAAATAGATGGGAGAGGGAGTTAAAGAGGAACCGGTCCCTTACATTACCAAGGCTGGGAGTGGGGTAGGAGGAATAAGCTGGGAGTGGGATCAGGATCTCCCTTAACAACCTGTGGGATTCAGCTATCAATAGCAATGGGGAGTGCCAGGATTGCCATCACTGAGCGATGCAATCACATGATATCATGCTTTACAACCTCATCACTTAGTGACAGAAATTCTACCCAATTACCATCGTCATTTGAGGAACCCTTGTAACATGCTTCTCCCTCAGGTGTGTGGATTTTTCTTTTCTCCTTTTAGCAGTGAGCCACAGAAAAACATATACCATTTGTTTTATTTAAGACTACTAAAATCCTATTATCAGGGTAAAGTAAAATGTGCATTCATTTTTAGCCATTCATTCCCTGTCTTACTTGAAGAAGTGTATTTTGTACGCAGAATTGTGTAGGACACTTATCCCAATTGCACGCTAATTGCTCATAGGTGAAAATTGACTAATCTAGTTAAGCAAATCTACCTATCAATGAATAAATTAAAACATGTAGTTTTTCTTGTATAGCGTGCCCTGGTTTAAACATTAAAAAGTGAAAACAGCTTTTATGTGTTGGAAAAGAGAGATGTAAGAGACTCTTCCTTCTTTCAAACTTTTAATGTAAATCTTGATTCCAGATTCAGTGAACTGTAACATCCAGAATGGCCATTCTGACTAAGTATGATGGGGCAAGAATTCACTAGAGACCTGTACAGGAAAACAGATGCAGGAAAACGAAAACCAGAGTCCCTCTGGAGGCCTGGAATAGTGGAACAACTATTTATTCTTTTACATTATTTTAGAAACACAGTGACTAACAGCAGAACTTAAATTCTGCCTACATCTTACCAAGCCTTTTTTTTTTTTTTAGGTCCATAACTCTTTGATAAATTGCAGAGTTCCCTCTGCGTTTTAATGATGTCTCCAAAGAATGGCATTCTTTTTTCATACCCACGAATGGAATAGCCTTCAGATAACTCAGATGATTCAGTACAAGATCTTTAAGAACCCTAGGAGGAATCAAGAAAGAAGTAGGACTCTTAACTAAAACAGCGTGCACTGGATGCAGGCTTTTTGCATCTGCTGCATTACATACAGGGAAGGAAGCTTGTGGATGTTCTGGTTTAGCCAGTCCTAAAACACAATCTATAGGAAAAACCAGGCAAAGGAGAGAAGGGGGGAGGGGTCATCTCTATTGACAGTGAAGATGGGTGGGGCCAAAGGATGTCAGTGCCCCTGGCACTCAGATACTCAATTGATGGCTTCTAAAAACAGCACGAGCAGGCGCACACATTGCTAGAGCTTCCCTAGGAAAAATATTAGCAAAGCCTCAATCAACCTATTCATCTCTCTCTCTCTCTCTCTCTCTCTCTCTCTCTCTCTCTGCCCTTCGCATGCGATCGATACAAGTTTCCTTCCCTTAACACGTACCGCACAGCACCCTTAATTAAGGACAAAGGGAACAAACAAGAGAGAATGTCTCCTGCTACCGTAGTCACGGCAAACATTTGAGTGCTCCCTCCTCCCTGGGATTTTTCCTGACTGACCAGCAATTTGCTTGGATGACATTTCAGTAGAAATGTTGCTGGAAACTTTCTGCTTTGATCGGACCAAGGGGAGAGGCTTTTTTTTTTTTTTTTTTAGGATGGGCTGAAAAAAAGTGTTAGCCACATGTCCCCTTATTCCAGATCTCTGGTTCTAAAACAGGATGCACACTGTCCTTCACGGTACAAGTGAAGATTGTTCTACTCACCTATACTGATGAATGTCTTCAAAGGACTTGGTGTTGTTAATAGCGAAGACACATAGGAAGCCTTCTCCTGTCCGCATGTACTGGTCTCGCATGGCACTGTATTCCTCTTGGCCAGCTGTGTCCAAGATGTCCAGTAAGCAGGTCTCCCCATCGATGACTACTTGCTTTCTGTACGAATCCTGCAGTCAAGAGAGAAGTAGGATTGATTAGGAGCGGGGTCAGCATATTATTTGTTTATGGTTGTTATCCCTGGCTGCTCCTCTTTTTGCTTCTCACAAACTTAGCTATTCACCCTTCATTTCCTTTTGGCAAGTTTTTGCACCATTGCCATCTTCGCGGCTCCGAGGTTGCTGCTCTCTGTATCTGCAAGCCTCTCCTCTTTTCTTTCACACGCTCTGTTTCTTGACCAAGTCTCAACTACCTTCTCCCCAGACCACTCCCCCTTTCGTTTTCATCCCATCGGCCTTTCCCGTGTCTCCCAATCTGCGCCTGCTTTGTATATAGCAGCTATCTGCTCTTAAATGCTCCTCTGGAGAATAATTCTGGCTTGGCCCAGCCCTTTGGGAGGGCAGTATCAAAACAAACTGGTTGCTTAGAATCCATAGTTCAGTGGTGGCGAACCTATGGCACGCGTGCCAGAGGCGGCACTCGGAGCCCTCTCTGTGGCCACACGCGCCGTTGCCCCAGCAGAGTTCGCCAGAGTAGAGAGCACGTGGCGTTTGGAAGCGACAGGGCAGGAAGTGAGTGAGCAAGCAGTGTTGGTCCCCCGGGGATGCCCCAGAGATGGCGAGGGACTGGCCCTGGCCACACTCACCCAGTCTGCCATGACCACTGCAGCCCCCAAGGGCACCACAATGCTGATGCAGCCCTGGCACTTTGCGATAAATAAGTGGGTTTTGGGTTGCAGTTTGGGCACTCGGTTTCTAAAAGGTTCACCATCACTGCCATAGTTCATACCCTGGGACGCATTACTCTGGGTTGGCCAGAGTCAGCAATCTGAACCAGACTGAGGACCATAGGCAAGGGTGCACAAATTTTTGGTGGCCAAGGAACCACTTTTATTCTGCCCCCTTCCAGTTATAATTGCTTGAGGGCAGCAACATTTTTTAACTGTTTCTTTCCTGTTTTGAGGAAAACGGAGAAGGTTGCATTCTACGCATACATTTTTCAAGGTGCTCTTCAGAGAAAGGATAAGTATTCATACCTCTAGCGTCAAAGCAGCAGCTCACATTTTAGAAGCACCAATGTTCTCCCCTGACAGACAAGGTATTTCTTTGACACCATGCTGTTTAGACTTTGCAAACTTATTTTCTTTACTTTATTTAGTATGTACTTATTCTTTTAAAAGTAGCTGTGCCAAAGGAGGATCACAGTCATCTCCTTTGACCGATGGACATATAAGCTGGAGAGTAAACATGAACGTGGGCAAAAGCACTGGGTGGAGTTCACGAGCAATATAACCATGTCTTCCCCACCCAGCCATAATATTGTCCATCAAGATAAAATGATAACTATTGGGGGGGGGGGAATCAGCATAGACCTGTTCTCATATTCAATTTTTCTGGGCTAGAAGTATTCTAATTCAAAAGGCTTTTCTCCATTCCTAAATAAACCATATATCCATGTCACTTGCTTTACCTACCATTTAAGACTTTTAAAAGTATCTTTAATATTTAATAATGTTCGTCTTTTTCTTTTCTAATAATTTATTTAAAAATAAACTATAGTTTTTTTCAAATGCTCTTAGAAAATAAAGTTACGACATTCACTTTCTGAAAAAGAAGTTGTAAGTAAAAGGCTAAGTACTGGAAGTCCAGAATTATGAGAGAGAAAATGTTACCTGCTACTGTAAAAATGTTAAAAAAATTTTAACTACACGACATCTCACTTGTTTAAAAATTAAAAATAATTATTACATTTCTCAATAGGGGGATTCCCTCCATCCCTTGTTTTATTTTTTTACTATGTATTTTCTAGCAAGCAAGCAAAACATGTAATCATAGTGTCCCTCTCTCTGGCATATGCTTTTTCCTCTGGGCCTTTTTTATTATGTTGCTCTTCACCTACTTTGAATCAACAGAAAACTATCGATATGAAACATCCCCACTGCTGCTGCTTTCTATCTCCAAGCTTACTTTCCCTCCAATGTAATGAATGTGTGATAGATTTTGCCCACCTTGAGGAATCCTTTAGATCAGAGGTCTTCAAACTTGGCCCTTTTATGACTTGTGGACTTCAACTCCCAGAATTCTTCAGCCAGCATGCCTGGCTGAGGAACTCTGGGAGTTGAAGTCCACAAGTCATAAAAGGGCCAAGTTTGAAGACCCCTGCTTTAGATTGTGCTGGAATAAAGGAAAAAATACTCTTGAAGACTGGCGCAGTGAAGGAAAACTTAAGCCTATCTTGTTTATAAGATGAAGACAATGTCATAATGACACTCTCGTTAACTGCTACCATGTTCTACTTCATGCCCATTGCCAATTTGTAGCTCAGCCTTCCCTAACCTTGAACACCCCCCCTTGGGAATGATGCAATGTGTAATCCAACTTTCTATTTTGTTTCTTTGTGTGAATTTTCATTGGGTTTCACCTGCAACAATGCTATCCTGCGGGATTTGCTACTTACTTGTTTGAAAAGTGGATCTTAAGTATCTTAATAGTTTAATACAGCTTAAACTAGTAACTTTAGTAGTTTAGTAAAGAATACACCCCTGGCCTGCTTTAGACATGCATTGAAAACCTGTTTTTCCAAGGAGCCCTTGGCTGAGGTATTTTGTGAACTGGAGTGATAACTGATGAGGGATGGCTGAAACTGGGCTTCACGTGCTCCCCAAATGTATATCATTGCCATACTTTTTGCATTTTGACTGCACTGTATTTTCAATGTAGATTGCCTTAGTCTTTCTGATCTGGCAACTATGTAGGACAAGCACACAACCAAATGAGTGGCTGCGGCGGCAGGGATAAAATAAAAGGGGAGCCCCATTCGACCATCTTGACCTCCCATAAAAAGACAAGTAAATCAGAGCCATCTGAATGAAGTGTTCAGATGCTATCCCAAATAATTGTTTAAAAGAACAAAATTAAACCCTAGTGACCTCTTTGCATGCTCCTCTTCAAAGTCATCCCAAGGAGGATTCTCACTGTAACTTAACCACAACCTAATATTATTGATGAAGAGCAATTAATCTTACTTCAGATGACATGTCAAATGAAGGTTAATGTAAAACAGAAGGAAAATTTTCAAAACTCTTGGAATTTGATGAGGAACACAATGTAGGCAATCCCGAGAATCACTCTGTCTTGATCTTGTCAAACTGAGTTATCGTACATCGTATTATAAAAAGTTGCTGCTGCTCTTATGTTAAGAAACAAACAGACCAAGGGCCAGGGACAATAAATGACTTCTAAGAAAACTTTAAGACCTGATGTCCAGGTTCCTTTTAGAAAAAGAAAGCAGGAAACTTTTGTAATCCATATGGCTTAAATCCAATGGCTAAAAATACTTTAGATTCCAAATATACTTTTCTTAGCCTATTCAAAACTGGGATCTTCTACGCACACAGGAACTACAATAACCATAGTTCCCATGGAGTTCTGGGATTTGTAGTACCGCTTGGTAAACAAATTCCAAAGGACAATCCGGGACACAAAACAACTGACCTGCTGCTTGGTTGGATACTGATTTCAAGATGGCTACCACCTGACTCTTTTATGGGGAAAAGGCATTTTATGTCTCCATCAATCATGTATTAGGATGATTGGCTTGACAGAGGAATGATAAAAATGATTGCTTTGTATCCATCTTCATTTACATTTACTTTTCTGTGGTTTGCTGTAGAAGGAATATGAAATGGCCAAGCAAATTTGATTCCATTTTCCCCAAAAACTAAATAGCAAATTCTCAGTCTCATATATTTACAAAAGCATTAAAAATTGTATCGCAAAAGTAGATCCAAAAAAGTGATATTATTTATGCAAGTATATCAAAGAAGTTAGATAAGCATGATGAACAATGATGTAAGAGGGCCAAAAACTTTTTCTAAGATGAATCTAGACAGAGGAAATATTGAATATTGGAGAAAAAGAACAAATTTTATCCAAGGGGAACTCTGCGAAGCAATCTGGTGGAAAGAGCAGTTGCATTAGAACTAGTATTTATTTATGTATGAGATTTAGAGGCTCCAAAGTGACTCTGAGTGGCTTACATCAAATAAGAACAATAAAAAACAAGAGGGGGGGAAAGGAAAGTTGGAATTTGATACCTGGAAACATTCCCATCCTGACAAAAAGAGGATAAGTATATCTCCTATATAGGAATGGAGTGGGAGATGAGTCCCCTGAATTTTTCAATCAAAATATATTAAGTCAAGGTAAGAATTTCCATTAACAACTGAATGCATCTGTGAAGCCGCTTTACAGCTTCTACAGATATACTCACAGTTGGTTCATTGTTAGTTAATGATAGTATTGTGAACATTTTAACAATAGATCAAATACAGATGTCACACAGGATTTTTCAATTAAAGCAGCATCTATACAGCACGTAGTTTTCAATCATTTAGCAGGGGCAGCTATTAGCCTTTAAAAGACTCAAATGGATATTTTCCAAGTTTTCATAAGATACAAAGGGATTAAAAAATAGATCATTAGAAAACAGTCCACTTATTTTTCTTTTCTTATGGAATAAAATCTTGGGTCTCTGTCCATGCATCTGAAACACTGACTTATTCAATGCAAGATACAGTACAATAATTTCCAGATATGCCTCATTAGCAGATCATCAATTTATAGGAGACAGCCTCATTTCTCAGTTATATCCAGGTAATCCTCTCAACTTACAACAGTCCTTTTAGTGACCATTCCAAGTTACAACGGCACTGAAAAAAGTGACTTATGACCGTTTTTCACACTTACGACTGTTGCAGCATCCCCAGGGTCATGTAAACAAAATTCAAATGCTTGGCAACTGACTCATATTTATGATAGTTTCAGTGTCCTGGGATCACGTGAGCACCTTTTGTGACTTTCTGACAAGCAAAGTCAATGGGGAAGCCAGATTCACTTACCAACTGTGTTACTAACGGTGGCTTCAGCTTGGCAATTGTGAAGAGGGGAAGAGAGCCAGATTCAGCTGAGCCAAGCACCCAACAAAAGCCATTCAGGCCCCCTCCCCAATT